TAAGTTAAAGTTTCATTAGTTATCCCTTTATCTGTTTGTCTGAATCAAATGCTCCCTGGATGATAACTTAAGTTAAGGTTTCATTAGTTATCCCTTTATCTGTTTGTCTGAATCAAATGCTCCCTGGATGATAACTTAAGTTAAGGTTTCATTAGTTATCCCTTTATCTGTTTGTCTGAATGAAATGCTCCCTGGATGATAACTTAAGTTAAGGTTTCATTAGTTATCCCTTTATCTGTTTGTCTGAAACAAATGCTTTCTGGATGATAACTTAAGTTAAGGTTTCATTAGTAATCCCTTTATCTGTTTGTCTGAAACAAATGCTTCCTGGATGATAACTTAAGTTAAGGTTTCATTAGTAATCCCTTTATCTGTTTGTCTGAAACAAATGCTTCCTGGATGATAACTTAAGTTAAGGTTTCATCAGTTATCCCTCTATCTGTTTGTCTGAAACAAATGCTTTCTGGATGATAACTTAAGTTAAGGTTTCATATTGATAGTTGAATGTCAGTTATATGTTCTTTATGTATATTTTAAAATTGTTTTTGAAAGGGTAATATCTCATAACATCTTTTTGTCCCCCGCGCAACGCGTTGCAGGGGACATACAAATACCAGGAGTCTATCCGTCCGGTCTTGTTAGCGCTCTTAGTGTACAATTCTTGCCAGATTTTTATGAAACTTATATCATAGGTTTATATCTGCAAGGTCTTGGACAATTTCGAAAATCAGTGCTGATCATTTACTTTTAAAAGAGTTATGTCCCTTGGAAACAATAATTTTATGGAAAATTGCATCGTTAGTGCTCTCATTTGTACAATTCTTGCCAGATTTTTATGAAACTTATATCATAGGTTTATATCAGCAATGTCTTTGACACTTTCAAAAATAAGTGCTGATTAAATATTTTTAAGAGTTATGACCCTTGGAAATATTAATTATAATGGAAATCACATTGCATTTGCTCTGAAGCCTTCATTTAAGATATTAATAAAAAGTTTTAAAGAACAAAAAAATAGTGTGCTTTTTTTATATGACCGCAAACAAATTTTGCGGTCGTATATTGGTATGATGTTGGCATTGTCGTCCAAAGACACATTGGTTTTTCGCACTCTTAACTTTAGTTTAGGTGAATGGATCTCTTTGAAACTTTCCATAAGGTTCAATACCACAAAAGGAAGGTTGGGACTGATTTTGGGGGTTATGGTACCAACAGTTACGGAATTACATGAATTAGGGGCCAAAAAGCGGCCAAAAATAAGCATTTTTGTAACTTCCAGACATAACTTTTGTGTTAGTGTATGGATCTCTCTGACATTGTACCACAAGGTTCCATATCACAAAGGGAATGCTGGGATTGATTTTGGGGGTAATTGCCTCAAAATTTTAGGAATTAGGGGCAAAAAACAAGCATTTTTGTCGAGCCTTCGACTTTTGTCGAAAAAAGCGAGACATAGCGATCCTACATTCCGTCGGCGGCGTCCACAAATATTCACTCTGTGGTTAAAGTTTTTGAAATTTTAATAACTTTCTTAAACTATCCTGGATTTGTACCAAACTTGGACAGAAGCTTGTTTATGATCATAAGATAGTATCCAGAAGTTAATTTTGTAAAAAAAAAATTCCTGTTTTTCCGTATTTTACTTATAAATGGACTTAGTTTTTCTGCCAGGAAACATTACATTCACTCTGTGGTTAAAGTTTTTAAAATTTTAATTACTTTCTCAAACTATCCTGGATTTGTACCAAACTTGGCCAGATGCTTGTTTATGATCATAAGATAGTATCCAGAAGTTAATTTTGTAAAAAAAAAAATCCTGTTTTTCCGTATTTTACTTATAAATGGACTTAGTTTTTCTGCCAGGAAACATTACATTCACTCTGTGGTTAAAGTTTTTTAAATTTTAATAACTTTCTCAAACTATCCTGGATTTGTACCAAACTTGGCCAGATGCTTGTTTATGATCATAAGATAGTATCCAGAAGTAAATTTAAAAAAAAAAATCCTGCTTTTCCGTATTTTACTTATAAATGGACTTAGTTTTTCTGCCAGGAAACATTACATTCACTCTGTGGTTAAAGTTTTTAAAATTTTAATAACTTTCTTAAACTAACCTGGATTTGTACCAAACATGGCCAGATGCTTGTTTATGATCAAAAGCTAGTATCTAGAAGGAAATTTTTATTAAAATTTTGTACTTGTTTATCAATATTTTACTTATAAATGGACTTAGTTTTTCTTCCAGTTAACATTACATACAGTCTGCAGTTAAATTTTTAAAAATATTTATTAGATTCATAAACTATCCTGGATTTTTACCAAACTTGGACAGAAGCTGCTTACAATAAAAAAATTGTATCGAGAGGAATATTTTTATTAAATTTTTTCCTCATCTCATTTTTGTTGAGCCTGCGATTAACAGCAAAAGTAGGCGAGACACTGGGTTCCGCGGAACCCTTACGAATTTTTCTAGATTCATGATAATAACTTGTGTGTAAGTGTATGGATCTTTATGAAATTGTACTACAAGGTTCCATATCACAAAGGGAAAGCTGGAATTGAGTTTGGGGGTAATTGCCCAAAATGTTTAGGAATAAGTGGCCAAAAAGGGGCAAAAAACAAGCATTTTTCTAGTTTCATGACAATAACTTGTGTGTAAGTGTATGGATCTTTATGAAATTGTACTACAAGGTTCCATATATATCACAAAGGGAAAGCTGGAATTGAGTTTGGGGGTAATTGCCCAAAATGTTTAGGAATAAGTGGCCAAAAATAAAAATTTTTCTAGTTTCCAGACAATAACATGTGTTCAAATGTATGGATCTCTCTGAAATTGTACTGCAAGGTACCATACCACAAAGGGAAGGCTGGGACTGATTTTGGGGGTAATTGCCTAAAAATTTTAGGAATTAGGGGCAAAAAACAATCATTTTTCTAGTTTCAGGACAATAACTTGTGTGTAAGTGTATGGATCTTTATGAAATTGTACTACAAGGTCATATCACAAAGGGAATGCTGGGATTGAGTTTGGGGGTAATTGCCCTAAACATTTAGGAATTTGGGGCCAAAAAGGGGCCTAAAAACAAGCATTTTTCTAGTTTCCAGACAATAACTTGTGTTCAAGTGTATGGATCTCTCTGAAATTGTACTGCAAGGTACCATACCACAAAGGGAAGGCTGGGATTGAGTTTGGGGGTGATGAATCATAAGGGGGTTCAAAAAATTTGGGGGAGGGATTTTTTTTTCTTTTAAATTGTTTTTTTCTGATTTATATATAAATGCAAATAATAATGATATGGTTTAAATAGGTAAATTAAAATTTTTTAAGTTCTTATACCACATTCATTCTGTGTCAGAAACCTATGCTGTGTCAAATATTTAATCACAATCCAAATTCAGTGCTTTATCAAGCTTGAATGTTGTGTCCATACTTGCCCCAACTGTTCAGGGTTCGACCTCTGCCGTCGTATCAAGCTGCGCCCAGTGGAGCATTTTATTAGTTATTGCCCTTGTACCTTGGATAGATAAAATATGTGCAACGAGGGGGACATTGGAACTCTGTTCTTTTATTTGTTTTGAAACCAACATCAGAGTAGCCATTAGAATAAACTTTCTTCAAAGTTTCCATTTTCTGCATTTGAAATATTCTTGTCTCATCAGTCAACTTGATAAAACATATTTTATTGTTTTAAGGAGTGTTCAAATTCAGAAATAATTCATGGCAGCCGTAGATTTGTTTTCATTTGATATTTTCTTAATAAGTGAGGTATTCTTTAGCAGGCACCTGTTAGTGAATTACATAACTTGAATATCTTCCTTAGGCTTGTTAGTCCCCTACCTACGAAGTCAAAGGGGACTTTAGGTTTGCACTCCGTCCATCTGTCTGTCTGTCTGTCCATCCACCAGTACAGCAAATCAGTTTTCCACACTTTTGACAAGTTACAGATCAAGTTCGAATTTTGTTCCTGTCTGATGATTTTGTGCAGAGTTGTGGTCCTTGGACTTAGAAAATTTACTCAAATAATCAGTTTTCAGCACTTTTTTTCGTCATGCTTGAAGATGTTGATTTGATAATTGGTATATAGTTTTATCATGACAAGTTACAGATCAAGTTCGAATTTTGTGCAGAGTTATGGTCCTTGGACTTAAAAAATTACATTGTAACTCAAATAATCAGTTTTCCGTACTTTTTTCCTCATGCTTGAATATGTTGATTTGATAATTGGTATATATAATTTTATCATGACAAGTTACAGATCAAGTTCGAATTTTGTTCCGGTGTGATGATTTTGTGCAGAGTTATGATCCTTGGACTTACAAAATTTACTTAAATAATCAGACATTTATCATGTTTATGTTGTATATTTTATCCTGAGCGACAGCGAGGGGTAAAATGTGAATATAAATGCAAAACCCATGCATGGATAAATGAAAAAAATCTACCACTGCCATGAATTATTTCGATTCTAATAGGACAATTTTGCAGAACAGCCAAATTTGTGTATTAATGCGTCTGTGCTAAAAGTTGATATACTGTGATTATACTGGTTGACGATATGTAGGTCGTCACATTAGAATATCACTTTTATTACACCCCACAGTGAGAAAACTATAATGATATTGTTTGTTTGTTTACAGATACCACATTGAGAAAGCTATGATAGTATTGTTTGTTTGTTACAGATACCACATTGAGAAAGCTATAATATTGTTTGTTTGTTTACAGATACCACATTGAGAAAGCTATGATAATATTGTTTGTTTGTTTACAGATACCATATTGAGAAAGCTATGATAATATTGTTTGTTTGTTACAGATACCACATTGAGAAAGCTATGATAATATTGTTTGTTTGTTTACAGATACCACATTGAGAAAGCTATGATAATATTGTTTGTTTGTTACAGATACCACATTGAGAAAGCTATGATAATATTGTTTGTATGTTTACAGATACCACATTGAGAAAGCTATGATAATATTGTTTTTTTGTTTACAGATACCACAGTTAGAAAGCTTGTTTACAGATACCACAGTGAGAAAGCTATGAAGTGACAATGGAGGTGAGTTGTTTCTAACATTAGGAAAATCCTTAAAATAATTTTCTGTTGGTAAGACAGGCTGGAAGTTTCAGGCTCCTCCAGCTGCATGTCTAGAATTCCAACTGCTCTTTTGATACAATTCTGTTTCAATTTTTTCTGAAGATAGAAAAGGAGACATGAAGGAATTTACTAACTCTGTCTGTTACAGACATCGGGTCAACATTCAAATGAAATGGCCTAAAAAGAAATATGAGCCAACATCTTCTTATATGGAATTGCAACTTCAGTTTAGTCCAATTTACATAATTTTATAATTAGGAACAAGAAGATGCAAAATATAAAAAGTTTGAAAATAAGAATTAGATAGAAACAGCATTTGAAATGGAATAAGTACAATAATACATTCTGATTCAGGGATAAATGATGTTAGGAATTCATTTTACGATTTGTCAATACTGAATGTGCTACAGCTGTCATTCATTGTGTAGGTAATTCTGATCTTTTATAGAACCCTGCACTCAATGAATAGTCAATATTTTTACAGTTTTGATGGATAGCTTTGATTTGATATTTTCTTAACAAGTGAAGTATTCTTTAGCAGGCACCTGTTAGTGAATTACATAACTTGATTATCTTCATTAGGCTTGTTATTTATATATATTCAGAAATTTTTTTTAGAGTAAAAAAGAAGTTGATAATGATTTTGCCAGATAATGATTTAGGAACTAACATTTTGTTGTGGTGGATGAATAAAGAAAAAATGACTCTGTCTTCAGTTGAATTTAAAAAATAGAAGGTCTGCGTTTTTGTGAGATGTTTTTCTGCTTTGTATTGATCTGATGAGTAAAGCCCTTTTCAACTGATTTTTGTCGAGCCTGCAACATTTATGTTTGAACACTTTATCCCAAGCGACAGCAAGGGGTAAAATGTGAATATAAATGCAAAACCCATGGTTTAATGAAAACAAATCTACGACTGTCATGAATTGTTTCGATTCTAATAGGACAATTTTGCAGAACAGCAAACTTTAATGAAACTTTGGCAGTAGCATTTTTATGATTAAGAGATAATGTCTGAAGCAAACTTTTGAATATGTATTTTTTTCATTTTTCGTATTTTACTGATAGATGCACAGAGTATTTTACAGTCAACATTTACAGAGAGTCTAGGATTAAAAATTTTTTACATGATAAATTTGTAAACCTTCATGGATTGTTATGAAATTTGGACAAAAGCTAATCTTCAAGACCAAGAAAAAGCATCTAAGAAAAAGTTTTTTTTTTTAATTCTTTATTTTGCTGAAAAATGGACTCACTTTTTGTCCCTCGCGCAACGCGTTGCAGAGGACATAGAAATATTGGGCATCTGTCCGTCCAATCTTGTTAGCGCTCTCACCTATACAATTCTTGCCAGATTTTTATGAAACTTATATCATAGGTTTATATCAGCAATGTCTTTGCCCCTTGGGAATATTAATTATATCGGAAATGACATTGCATTTGCTCTGAAGCCTTCATTTCTCTGAGATATTAATAAAAAGTTTTAAAGAATAAAAAAAAAGTGCTTTTTGTTGAGCCTGGGACTTTTGTCGCAAAAGCGAGACATAGTGATCCTACATTTCCGTCGTCATCTTTTTTTCCTGCCAGTTAACATTACATTCACTCTGTGGTGAAAGTTTTTAAAATTTTAATAACTTTCTTAAACTATCCTGGATTTCTACCAAACTTGGACAGAAGCTTTTTTTATGATCATAAGATAGTATCCAGAAGTAATTTTGTGAAAAAAATCCTGTTTATCCAGTTTTTACTTATAAATGGACTTAGTTTTTCTGCCAGTTAACATTACATCATCTTCGCTAGCCAAGGGTTACGATCCACTTCCCTCCTCTCCACCCTTGGCAGATTAAGCCAACATTTGTGATAACAATGTTGTGCCATCTATCGGTAGATTAAAGTCACGCCCATTCCGAATACATTATTCTTGACCAATGGTAGCACTTGAACTCTTCAATTTGGAGGTAAAAACACGGTAGCGTCTAGATTCTACAAACTTGGTAAAGCAGGAAACGAAAATATAAGTTGACATTCATGCATTTGTGCAAGAAACATACACAGGAACTTCTATTAGTTGATTAAAAACATTCAAATTGTCACTAAATATAGTCGTATGTTTAGGGATGTAAAGACTTGTTGCACAATAAGCATGTGGCAATTGTTTACATACACTTTCTAGATTTACACATGATCATGTTATAGGCGCTTTTTGATTGGATGCAGCGAGTTTCGACTGCAACCAATGAAAATCATTACCTTGTGTCTCCGAAATTCTATCTCAATCCGCCAAGGGTGGAGAGGAGGGAAGTGGATCGTAACCCTTGGCTAGCGAAGATGACATTACATTCACTCTGTGGTTAATGTTATAAAAATTTTAATAACTTTCTTAAACCATGTAAACTATCCTGGATTTGTACCAAACTTTGACAGAAGCTTGTTTATGATCAAAAGCTAGTATCTAGAAGGAAATTTTGTAAAAACTTATTTCCTGTTTTTCCGTATATTACTTATAAATGGACTTAGTTTTTCTAATAATTTTTTGCCCATTTTTGTTGAGCCTGCGACTAACAGCAAAAGTAGGCGAAACACTGGGTTCCATGGAATCCTTACGAATTTTTTTTGTTATTGCCATTTTACCTTGGATAGATAAAATATGTGCAACTCTATCTAGGGACATTGGAACTCTGTTCTTTTATTAAGTCAACATAACACTTTTACACTGACAGCAGCAAACGCAGGCAAGACACAGGTTTTAACACAGCCATGTTCTTTGAGTGTCTGTCCCAAGTCAGGAGCCTGTAGTTCAGGGGTTGTCGTCGGCTCATGTCTGTCATATTTGCTTTTCGTAAATTGTTTTGTTATAAATTAGGCTGTTAGTTTTCTCAATTGAATTGTTTCATATTTTTCATAGCCTTTTATAGCCGACTTCACGATATGGGTTTTTCTCATTGTTGAAGGTCGTACAATTGCCTATAATTGCTTACATCCACTTCATTTGAACTTTGGTGGATAGCTGTCTCATTGGCAATCTTACCACATCTCTTAATTTTTTTATTATATACATTCAGCATGTTCATTTTTAAGCGTAGAATTAAATGGTTATAGATTATTACATGACATTTTCCATATCAGCCCAATATCAACCAGGGACTCCCATATTGGACAGAGGGCTTTTACTTTTGGTATGGATTGAAGGATGATACTAGGGTCTAATGATCTATTTATCACATATTTTCTCTATGAAATTGGAATGAGAAATTAGAAGAAACAGTTGAATAAAGACTATGTATATATTTCATTTGTTTTTGTATGTTCTTGATTATTTTTTGGTGCATTTAATAAAGATCCAATAATTCCTCAACAATTACTGTAACCACATCTGGTCTTCTCCGACTATCAACAAAGACGTATTGTTTCTAGCAACACAGGGCTGTTCAAACAGTTTTATAAACAGCAGGGTTACTTATAAAGTTTATCTTCAAGTAAGTCTCAAAGATTGTACATGACTCTCCAAACTGAAAGAGAGCCAATATGGATTTTGAACGTGAGGGCTGATATGGCTCTCCATTGGGAAGCCCATATTTGCCCCGGTTGTTTGCCCCAGGCAGCAATATGACTTCGGCAAATCAGTGTGTATTACATATGCAAAACCTGATGTTTTGGTAACAAATATGTGATGATTATATAAACATGACAAGACCTTGAAGGATTTCATTATATTTGTGTGGTCCAATAATATTTCAGTTGCTGTACCTGTTCTCTAGTTCTAAGGCTATTGATCATGAATTGAAACAAATTAATCTGAATTTTATGATCACAAATGAGTATTGAAAGATTGTTTAACAGACATGTTTATAGATAAAAATGTAATTTGATTGACAAAATCTTGTAAATTTTGTTTAGCAGACATTGGTGTTGTGTAATGTTACACTTTCTAGGACATGTGATCTATTAATTTCTAGCCTAAGGGAGATAATCCAATTGAAGCACATCATGTGATGGGCAGGACCTATACAGCATGTCAGACTGCAAAGTAATGGAAAAAGTGTAAAAAATAATTCATAAAAATTGCTTTCTTTTTTAAATGAAAGGCCACGAAAACTGAATTAACAACCTTAATAAAAAAAGTAGAGTATATTTCTTGCTTTTGATGGCTGTGTATAGTAAATAGGAATTTCTTTCTTGAATGCTTTTTAATCATGTTTTCTGATGTATGGAAACTTACAATAATGAATTTTGAAGAATTGTTCCTGATTTAACAGCATCACACCATACATGAAGCTACAATTACATAGCTACAGTTTTCTAGTTGCCAAACACTTTGTCTTGGTACATATGTATCTTATAGCTGATCAGAGATTTCTGTATTATAAATGAATGGCAAGAGGAGAGATTTTTGTGGGTGAGTGATAAGATTGAAGTTATAGTAAAGATTGGATATGTAGGAGTGTAAGATTTATGTTGTCTCTTTGATAAGAAGTAAATATGTCCTGAAGATATGTTTGTCCATGGATGACTGGAAGTCTGTTGAGTGGTCTGTCAATATTTACCTGTCATTTTATTTTGTGAAATTAGACATACATGTACCTGTAAATACAGGTACATGATATTGTCTTAATTTGTTTGCCCTCTATACACTAAAATTGATGAGACTTTTCCACATTTATTTTATTAGTTAAAGAAAAATTAGATAATTAAATGTTCAGTGAATGTGTGTCAAACTTCTTACAAAGTTGGCACTACAAAATGAAAAAAAAAGAATTTTAAAAATATTAACATTGGAGTAGGCTTTGGAAAGAAAGGAATTTTAAAATATTAACAGTGGAAAAAACACTGATAGGAAAGGAAAAGCGGAGTGAGAGAACATTTAAAACACAAGATTTATTTTAAAGTTTGTTGTGTTTATGAATTCTGTCATTTCAGATTTATCTCCCATTTCTTACTTTCAGGTACAATTCTTTTTTCAAT